TATGAAGCAAATTGATGGGGAAAAAAAAAAAAAAAAAAAGAAAAAAGATAAATGTTAAATTTTATTGAAACTTTCAGGGCTTGTACACAAATGAAATTTTAGATTTTTTTTTTACATCTGTATATATAAATGTGCAGATTTTTGTAAATACACATATCCATATACACCATTATCAGAAAATAAGAGTAGTAACAGTAGTAAATTTTAAAATTTGCATATTTCTAACATTTTCCCAAGAAGCATATTTGTCAATAAAGCCTAAATTTCAATAAAATATTTTTCTAAAATTTTAAGAATCTAGGTAGTTATAAAATCCTATAAAAACTGTTCACATATTCAAATAATTTTTATAGTTATGCACCCTTTACTTAAAGATGCCAAACATTAAGCTATTGTTAAATTTGTCAACACCACATAAAACCACCCACCACAGTGATAAAGAAAATGCTCCTCTGCAATATTTTAAATTAAAAGTAAGTAATATATTTGTTTTAATTCAAATTAAACTTTAAATCAATTTTCCTCAAAGTTCCAGGAAAGTAGGTTTTTGAAAGATTTTTTTAATAAAAGAGAATTAGGTTATATTGACAGATTTGTCAATACAACTTCAAAAAAATTCCAATCAATTTAAATTCTGTTTGAAACAGCAAAATATCTTGTCTATTGGATATATTAAATTTAATTAGCTTGGAATTCAAACTAAAAAAATAAAAGCTTCAAATATTTTTCATTTTTAAAATGCATTTTAAACAGATATTGTTTTTTTTTTGGTACATATATATATATATATATATATATATTCATTAATTACATAAAAATACAAAAATAATTTCCTTTTAACTGGGTTCAACATTTTATCCTGGTTGTAAGCTCTCTTTAAATTTTTGGAATAAATATAAAGACGTTAAATTTTGTCATTGTTTACAATTTGCTTTTATGCCTAACATATTTTGCATTTTTTACAAATAAGGAATCACTGATTAGCTAATAGCAATAATAGATGAAAAAAATTATATTCAATTCCTTATTTAGGGCTTAGCAAGTAAATGTATTAATGGAAAAAATAGAAGAGAAAGTCACTCCCAGATTTCCATCAATTACACATGAATAGAAAAGCAAACCATTAGTTAACACATCTTTAGGAAGTAATTTCAATTTGCAAAAGAAAAAAGGCGTAATACCTGCATAGTAGAAGGAGCAGGAAAAGAAATTCATATCAACTGATTGCAATGAAAAATATACAAGAATGGTGTCAGATTAAACTATAACAACTTCCCATCATTGAATTTAATGCATGATAATGAGGATTTGATGGGTATAGCTACAAAGTCCTTTAAAGTCTGTATTTACAGTCACCAACTACTATCAAATTTTATTTCCCATAGATTTGTTTATCACATAAAAAAAGTCAAATTTTACAGAAGGGAGACAACTAAATTATCATAAGATAAAATGAGAAAATTACTACAACAGGGTAAATAAAAGGTTCTCATGGTCTATATACATTCATACACACTATGATTGCAAATAAGAATAAGATGAAGTGCAATTCATATATATATATATATATATATATATACACACACACACATAAATAAAACCTGACATTTTTATTATTTCAAAAATTATTTTTAGTGGATACCCGCATTTGAAAGCGTGTATTAGTCTGTGCACCTGAGAAATCTTACAATCTTTACAAGATGCCCTTCTTGCTGCAATTTTCTTTTAAGCAATTAAAATTAAATTAATTTCTAATTATTTACCTTTTGTAATAAAGTAATTTTTTTATTGCTTTTTAAACAGAATACAATCAAATGTTGAAGTTTAGTTGACTTCTTTGACAGCAACTATCCTTCAAAAGTTTCCTGTTTTTAGCGCTTCTTGACAAATAATGTTAAAAAAATAAAATTGCTTCCAATTAAGCCTCAATGAGTAAATTTCCACTTTTAATTTCAAAGTACATCATGGAGAGCATGTTTCTAATAAAATGAACATTTTACGAGCAATAAACATTTTTACAGCAATCGATAGAATTTGGGGACAAATTGTATATCACATCTAAACAATTCATATTCATATAAGCCTTTTAACAGTTTATTTTTTATCAAAATCCAATACTTGACTATTTGTTTAGCTAAGAAGGTCTGAATTAAGAGTGATGTCATCGGTATTAAGTTCTCTCCCACTCTCATCATCAGCGTGGACTAAGTCACTAAAGTAAACACTACCCCTAACTTGTGGTAAAAACAGTAATATTTATTATTCATGAATCCAGCAAAAATATAAAAAGTTTAAGCTATTCAGATGTTTCTTTTGAAAAATTTAAATTTATTTTAAATATTTTTTAATATTGGTTAATAAAAATAACAGCCTTTCAAACACATATTTAATCAAAAATATATAAAAAATAATGAACAGATTTAAAAATTTTTAAAAATATATTTTTCATTTCCTTCCCGTGAAAAGACTGAGAGTCGAAAGGAAGTAAGTCAAATTTTGTTCAAACAGCTGCATTTTTTGGGGGGTTAATAAATGGAATTGGTAATTCGTGCTCCTAAGATTGGATTATAATTTTTATTAGAAGATATTAACATTTAAACAAAAACTAAATTAAATTGAAGACATCAAGTGATTGTTTTGGTTCGACAATATTTTAGAAAAAATATGTTCAAAATAAAATAAAAGCAAAGATGGATGATAACCAACTTAATCATTTAAAATTCTTTAAAGTCTTGTTCAATAAAAGAAAAAAAAATTAAAAAAGATAAATGATTTTAAAACATGTAAATACTATTTTAAGGAAGAAATGCACATTTTTACAAATCAATACCCGTCGTGTACGACTTTTAGTTTAAATTTGACCACTGGATGGAATAGCGTGTGACTGAAGAAAAATAGATTTAGCGATCGAAAGTCGAATTTTTCAATGAATACAGAAGTAAAATGGAAAATTTAAATAAACATTGTGCGAAAATAAATATCACAAGAGAAATGCAGAGTTTTTTTTACATTGTGAAATTGCAGAATTTTTACATTGTGACGTACTTATGAGTCAATTAAAGTACAGAAGAAAAAATAAGATTTCTATCTACAACAATGTTACAATAATAATTTGGATAATAACTAGCATTTAGCTACTTCCACACTAACCGGCTTGGTGGTAACTTCAAGAACCGGTCGATTTTTAATCTCAGGTAAGTAAAATTCAAAGAAAAAAGTATATATATTTTTACTTTTACTTACATATGGATTACACACTCTCAGAACATACACGCGCATAAAAAAAACAAAACAAAAAATAAAACTACATGTGCTTCTGACACGTGGTCGAGTATTTGGCTCTACTAGTACATAATAAATATTTATTTTCATTAATAATGTAAGAGGAAAAAAAAAAAAAAAAGAGAAAGATTAAAATTGAAGGGTGACTTTTTTTAAAAATATAAAGTTTCACTACTAACATCAGCCAACAGAAATGATAAGAATTCGATGATATTGTAAGGATATAAAAAGAAGAAAAAACAGCTCGATTGCCACTTGTGAATTTGAAAGATCGGAAAAAGTCTGGTAAGTTGAAAAAGAAATTGCCCCATATTTATTTTTTGGTATTCGGAAGTTCCTATACATAGGACAATAGAACCCCTTCCACCGCCAGCTGAAACTCTTTCATTTCGACAAAATTTCAACGAAATAAAAGAGAAAAAAAATTGTAGGTGAGGGGAATAGAATTAATCAGAATCTGATCCTACGAGCCGGCAAAGAGAGAGAGAATAGTTAAAAGTGTCAAGTTGGGAGAGGGAGAAAGACCAAAAAAAAGAAAAAAAATCTTATAGTGGGGGTTACTTCATAACATAGCAGTGAAGAGTAAGAGATATAAAACGCTTGGTCTCCTAATATTAGTCTCTTAAGTGCGCTTTCCTCTCTGATCACCCTACCAGTGAAAGAAAAGGAGAAGGCCAGAGACAGAGGGAAATTGGGTACAGAGTTTATGAAATTTAAAGTTCCCCCGCCCCGTACACCACATCGTCCGCCAGTGGAAACCTTCTTCCTCACCGAAGACTGAGGAGTGCTGATATAAGCAAGAAGACAACATCACAAGAAAGGAAGGAGGAAAAAAGGGAAAAGATTTAAATGGAAAAAAAAAATATCACCGTCGTGTAAAGTATGTAACGACACAAGTCACCACGTAGCAAAGATAATGAACATTATTTGTCATTATACACACATGTCCCCAAAGAATAAGGGAAAAATTTACAGAAATTATTTCTTCCTTAATCAATTTCACAAAACAATACCGTCACAACTGTTCAAGTTAAATTCATTTAAAAATATAAATAAAAACGTTAATTAATTTTCTTTTACTGAAAAGAAGAGCCAAACAAACAGGTGTAAAAAAAAAGAAAAAAAAAAAAAGGAGAAAATAGTTTTAAAATAGCTAAATGAACAAACAGAAGACATTATTAAATTATATAACGATTTTTGAATATGTTTTTCTAACGTGGGGATCGAATGAAAAAATTTGGAATTTAATACATGAATTTATTACAAAAAGTTATTTGAAGGGGAAAACTGAAATAATTTTATAAAGAAAAGTCTTTTTTAATTACTTTTTAGTTTACTTTTGTTTTGTCTTTTTCAATATTGATAGGAAATTCTTGGATTGTTTTTTTTACTTTTTAAATTAAAATATTTTTTTTACATCTTGACTTTTTTTTTTTTAAAACAGAAATTACTTAAGCGTTTGTTGATTTTAACAAAAAAGGAAATAAAATATTACAGATGATTAAACATAAAAATGGGAAAATAAGTGAAAAAATACTTCAACTTTCTTTATGTATATGTAAAAAAAAAAAAAAAAAAAAACTTTAATATATTTGACTTTTAACAGAAAATTAAAAACAAAAAAAACTCTTGATTTAAATTATTTTTTAGTTTCTAAAATTAATCACGATTTTTTTTTTCCTAGCGGAAAAAAAAGTAATTTTTTTCTTCTTACTCACCGTTTGCTGTAGTCCCTGATGAAGGAGCAATCTAGATTTTGGTAGGGAAGAAAAGAAAAGAATATAACATTAATGAACATTTTTCTGACCCCCCCCCCTTCGGGCTTTTATAGATTTAAAAAAAAAAAAAAAAAAAAAAAATATTTTAAGTATTAAAAAAAATCTTTTACTAAACTAAATAAAAATAAATGATTAAAATCTGGAAATAAATGTATTTTCTCCCATTTACTGCCATGGGAATGTATGTCTTAATATTACAAGAGATAAACATACACAGCCTCTATCTTTTTTTCTCTCCGACAAACCGAAAAATAGCCTAAATAGCAATAAAAATGAAAAATGAATTGCACATTAAAAAGATAGAATAGCAGAAAAATCAGCCAAAGTCGGTTTTGAGTGGCTAGATCACCAGTCTGGCTTCTGAACACAGTGAACATCGACAGCAAGACGGAAAAAGTGGGACTTAGAAAAATTTTCAGCCATTTTTAACATAGCCAAATTCTGAGCCTTTGTTTGCTGGTCGACGACACGATATAAGAGGCTATTTGTGGCCATCGTACGGGCGATCGGATCATTACTTAGTGAATACGGGATCGAATTACTTACCGATGTGGCACTAATTGCCTGATCAAACTTGAGGTCATCCATCTTTCACAGAATTTTTGCCCGATATCTGTTCTCTATCTGAACAGCTTGCTGGCTAATGGCGGCTCTGGGACAATGTAACGAGACTAAGTCCGACTTTGGCGGCAGTGCGCATGCGCACGATACCCGGATCTGAAACCTCACTCACTCACATACCGGCTATAACTGAAGAGCATCATTTTTATCACAGTCTATAATACAGACCAATATATTCGGTCCTTATTTACTTGCAGATTTAGTAATCTCAAAATCAAATCGTTTTGATCATAGTTAAAACAATTCTTTGCCGTCTGCTTCCGTACTTCCTTAGTAAACAAAAAAAAGCACACAAAAAACCATGAAATGAAAGCAGGTTTACGAAGCAAAAAAACATTTAACGAATTTGTTTGTCACACTTAGGTTTATCACAAAAAGGTATTTTAAGATTGTAATTTGTTTCAGAATATATATATATATATATATATATATATATATTAAAAAATTAAAGAAAGTAATTAAAAAACGATTCTTTTTAATTTTGAGTTTTGACGTTTTAAAGCTGACTCAAACCTTTTTTTAGTGACACGTACAAAAACTCCACATTCAATTTATAAAAAGTATTTCATAAAAAGACAACTATGTATTTTAATTTTATGAGTATATTTTCATTTTTATTAATAAAAAAACGTAAAAGCTAGTATGAAAAATAACTTACATGTTAAAAATATATTTCACCAACTCAAAAAAAGTGTTCCATTTTTTTTATTTTAAGAAATTAGAAAAAATAATAAAATGATTATAAAAATAAATAATTTATTATTGTTTACAATATTGTAATTTAACTTTTTACTTTTATTATTTATTTTTAATTAATTATTACCACGCATGAAAATATGCCTAGAAAAATAATTCTAAGTACTATTTAAAAATCATTTAAATTTAATTTTAAATTACACATTTTTAAATTATGATATAAAAATCTTGAAAGATTTTCATTATTTTTTGTCAAAGGAATCTGTTATTTTCTACTTATCATTTTTCCTGAACAAGTACATTATTAAAGAGAATTGAACAATTTCACACTGCAACATTTTTTTTTACTTTTAAAAAAGATTATTCTATTGAACTTCAATAAATGAAAATGCATATTAAAAACAATTATTTCATTGCAAATCTTATGAATCTGTAGATACATATGTGTACTTTACATATTAAACTTGTGTATCTTACATGTATTTGTTTATTGGGAGACTGACTAAGAAAAGTTGATTTTTTTTTTAGAAACTGATAGTCTTTTTTTATTATATGGTATTTTTGACATGCCATGTCCTTTCTGGACATAAGCAATCATGTTTCTTCATAGATTCTTTTTCTTTATTATCTGTGAACTGTCATAACTTCTTGGGAAATATAGTGGAGTGATTTCCCTTTGCGTTTCCCTTGGTTTTGAATTCAGAATAACCTTACTCCTAAACTGGTTACCACCCAAGGCTAGAGAATTCAGTGTACCTTGCTATTTAACTCATTGCTAGGAGGAGAAGAGTTTGATTCAGGCTTTTCACAATAGCATTTGTACAAAAAATAAACACAATAGACCAGACGGGAATTTGAACTTTGCTCACAGATCCCATTTTTACACTCTGATAACTGTTATGCTGTCTGTACATCCTATATGACAGAGCTGCTCCACTTTTCATGTAAAAATATGCTAATGAACAATTATGAAGAGAAATGACTATTCTTATAGAATGAATAAATATTTTTCTACATGTATATTCCCTACACATTACAAATCCAAAGACTTTGAATGCCCAGTGTTCTCGGGGATCATAAACAAAAATCCACCATTTAATGATAAAATATTTCAAACAAAATTCTTGATTCAGAATGTGTTGTCTGGAAACTAAGTAAATGACAGTTTTTGTGAAAAGGTGATGGGCTACTAAACTTCAAAGTGTTTGTCCACCATTACTTATTGTCTCATGATTTCTCTATTGAATGTTAACTAGTTTAAGAAGTGGTGGTTATTTCATAATATTGCATGAGATATACTGTCCATTATATATATAGGACTAGTTTACCTTAGCTGTTAAAACTGTAATAGTAATCTTGCATTTTCTTGCTTAATATTGAACTAAATTAAAAGTAAATTTAAGTAATGATAAAAATGGATCTTCTGCCTTCTTCCCTTGCCATAAATGAAAATAAAGTTAATCACAATTTAACACAATATTTCTAGTTTCTTGTAACAGTTTTACCATGTCATCAGAAGTGTCCACAACATGAAAAGAGTCCATTTACATCTCTATACAGTAAACTATTCTGATGATACAAAAATATGTTATACACACACACACACGCACACGAACATACATTGTATTTTATGTATGTGGATAAAAGTCAAATTTTCTAATTTATTGTAGATGTGTAACTCAGTGCACTAAATTCAATGTATAATTCAGTAAATGATTATTATTTTTATCTTAAAAATAATTCTCATGCCTTTCCACTCAATATATATAATGAATATCTCAATGTCTAGTCCATATACCATGAACATTGCACAAAGCCATATTTGACAGTAGATGATAAAGGCAGTAGAAATTCTTCATTTGCCTCCTTTTTTTTCTTATGCAAAAACTTAAGTGAAAATATTGTAAATTATTATCAAGTTTTTCTCTTACAATTATGAGAGCATTATGTAAATTTATTCTCAAGATATTAAAAAATATTTTCTTATAGTAATAAAACTTTCATTCACAATTTACTTTATACATGTCAACTGATGCCCTGAGCTGGAACATAAAGAGTACTAAAAAACACTTCAAATTAGTCCCCTTGAGACCTTACACATTTATCTCTGTTACTTTCACTTCATAAAATAAATAGTCTGCAAAGTTCTTTTATGGGGAGTGGCATCAGCTGCCTTATGACGATCTGAAATTTGTTCATTTTCAATGAGGATTTTAGGTTTGGGGAAAACCAAAATTTAAAGAGAGCCAAATCTCTACAGTAGAGGCTTCAGCACATTTGGGTGATGTGTTGTTTTAACAATATGGCTGGATACAACTTTGGCTTATCTCTCTCTCTCTCTCTCTCTCTCATATCTATCTATCTATCTATCTATCTATATATATATATATATATATATATATATATGTATCTATTTCTCTCTCTCTCTCTCTCATTATATATAATATATATATATATATATATATATATACACACACACACACAGGGTATATCAAAATTATTTCACAAACTGTGGTTGGTTGGGTTCCTGGTAAAATGTCCATATAAACATCTGTCCACAAGACGATTGTTGTACCTCAGTACAGGGACTCATAGCTAATGTCCAAAATGTCCTCTGTTTGTTCTACACACACATGCACCTGTTGGACAATTGAATGCAGGGCCCTTTAAAATACTCCCACACAATGCCAAATGGTTTTGCAGGCCACCATGACAGGTTCATGAAGCATCCTTTCATTATTAATGGTTGTTACATAAACCAATTCCTTTAGGTGGATACACAGATAAAAATCCAAAGCAATGTGGTTAGAGTTATGTGCAAGCTATGTAACTGATTCTCTCCTAACTATTCATATTTGCTGAACATCAGCCAGTACATCGCAAAAATGTGACAAAAATGAGCTGGAGACCCATCAGGCATGAAATCACATGTATCTTTGTATTACCAAGGGTACATCCTCTAGTAAATATGTTCGAAATAACTTCCTTGCAGACAGCTCCATTAAAATGTGCTGGAACAAGATGTGGAACTATAAGTTTTATCTTTATTTTAGTGTGAAAAAACTGCTCACGTTTGAAATTTGGAAGTTAAAAGTTTGGAAAAATATTTGTCACAGATGCCATATATATATATATATATATATATATATATGAGAATATATTGTCTAGTCGCACTGATGAGACGTAATACAGCAAAACAGGCCTTTATGGAATGACATTATATATATATATATATATATATATATATATATATATATATATATTTAAGTTATGAAGAACTTGGTAAACCGAATTGGTAAATCCAAGGAGGATGAAACCCTGAGAGCTCAATGTAAAGAACAGAGCTAATATTTAATGAAAAAAGACCACTTTAAGGTAGCATTACAATAATTTATTTTCACCAAAATCCTTTTTAAAAGATTTTCGGATCATCAGGCAACACTTCTAATCCCATTTTTTCCTCTCATTTCATTGTTGGAAGTGTTACCTGATGATCCGAAACTTTTAAAAAGGATTTTGTGAAATAAATTATTGTAATGGTACCTTAAAGTGGTCTTTTTTTTTTTAAATATATATGTATGTATGTATATATACATAGATATATGTATGAATGTATATGTAGATATATATGTATATATGTATGTAGATATATGCATATATATGTGGATATATATATATATATATAGATACATATATATATGTATATATATATATGTAGATATATGTATATGTAGATATATATATGTATATAGTTATATATATATATATATATACATATATATATGTATGTATTTATATATAGATATATATATGTATGTGTCTATGTATACGTAGATATATATAATTGTATGTGTATGTATATGTAGATACATATGTATGTATATATATATATATGTATGTATATGTAGATATGTATATGTATGTATATGTGGATGTATATGTATGTATGTGTATATAGACATGTATTTAAGTATCTGTTGATATATATATATATATATATATATATATATATATATATATATAGTCATGCTCATTCTGTGTTACACTTAAAGGTATGCAAATGATCTGTCAGGCCCATTCAGCCCTCTCTCTGTAATCAGAGGGAATACCTGTTAGGGCTTGACATGATTTCCATCTGTTGTTTCCAACTTTATTTTATCACATGCTTTGCATGTTTTTATATATTATGTTGCAATATTTAGTCTTCCCTGGATTTCAGCTCTGCTGAGGGAGGGCAAAACCAGTCGGCTCGTCCATTTTTTCTTTTCTTTTTTTTAATCAGGAATGGTAAAGCTTATCTTGCCGTAATATATATATATATATATATATATATATATATATATATGCGTATATATATGTAAGCAAATATATGGATATAGATCCGACAGTACGAAGAAAAATATACTGAAAAAACAAACAAAAATCCTAATATGCGATTATGCTGTTTTAATGTTTAATGTCAACGTCGGACGTTTCGGTCTAATAGACCATCTTCAGAGCATATTCATAAAACATAATTAACATAGACCATATACAATTCAACATGAAAAAGACGATGGACATAAAAGCAATACCAATCCAAACAGATAACTGAAATCTTTTATAAGATCAGCGTTCTCTTTAAATATGATCACGTCGTCATCACGTCTATGTTATATAACTGTGTGTATTTAGATATTTATATATATATATCTGTATATGTATGCATTTTATATATATATATATATATATATATATATATATATATATATATATCTGTGTATATGTATATATTTATATATATATAAGGAGGGAAATGCCAACAACGCCGAGAAGGGAAATGCTTTGGTAGTTATTGCAGTCGCTGCGGTCACCTTCATTCTTATAGAGGGTGGCAATGTTGGTATTTCGCATATCCCGCTGGACGTGGTCCTTCACCCAGCACAGGCACAGGAGCTCGTGGAGATGCTGCAGCAGAGCCGGCTTGCTACTTTTCAGAACCTCCGATGGGATCCTGTCCCTCCCAGTGGTCATCCTGCAGGAGAGACAGTCGATGGATTTTCGAGTTACTCCGCAGAGGGCGGGGCATCCAACTCCTCCATGACTGGGAGACTGGGCAAGGCATCCAAGGTGGCATCCGTCACCACGTTCTGGGTTGCATACAGCTCCAGGTAGTGCTCCACCCAGCGCTGCAGCTGCTTGCCCCGGTCCGTAATGACCTCCCCCACCCGGACTTGATGGGAGTTGGGCCGGTAGCAGTTTTGATGCCGGCGTACATGCCTCTTGCGTCTCCACTGTCGGCAGCCGTCGTTGGCGCAACGGCGTGCAGTCTTTTGGGCCCTGCTGCGAGCAGCTCTGAGGGCATCACGGGTATTGACGCAAGGGTTATGCTTGTAGGCCAGAAGTGCTTGTCTCTTGACTTCAGAGGCCGGCTGCATCTTATCCCAGTGAGCTTCGTACCAGTCCGCCTTTCGACGATCCTACTTTCCGAACGCAGTAAGGGCTGAGGTGTATATGGCATCACGGAGGTGGTGCCATCTACTGTCGATGTCAGTGGCACTGAAGGAGGATGTGTCGACCTTCGCGCTAAAGGTGGTTTGGAAGCGGCGAGAGCACTCAGGGTCATTGGAGCGACAGGTGTTGATGCGAGGGAGTCCCTTGGTTTTGGAGTGGTGTATTTTCTTGGCTGTCAGTCTCACTTTGCAGCCTACTAGAGAGTGGTCCGTATCGCAGTCTGCGCCGTGGAAGCTCCGAGTGTGAAGAACGCTCCTTAGGTCTGCACGCCTGGTGATGACAAGGTCGGACTGGTGCTATTGTCGAGAACGGGGGTGTCTCCAAGGGACTTTGTGGCGTTCACACAGTCCGTGGTGGCAGCACAGTTCCAGCAGCCGCTGTCCATTCTCATTCATATTGCCTATGCCCTGACGGCCGAGGCAAGATGGCCAAGTGTCACAGTCGGCTCCCACTCTGGCATTGACGTCTCCCAATAGGTATAATCCTTCAATATTGGGGTTCCTGGATATCGTCTCATCCAGTGCCTCATAAAACTGGTCCCTGACCTCTGGGGTGGCGCGTAGATGCAGGGGACGTTGGCGAAACCCGTAGATGTTAAGAGGCGCAGTGCTAGGATTTTCTCAGATCCGCCAATTGGTGGTACAATGGCTGGTATCAGCGAGTTATTCACGGCAAAGCCTACGCCGTGTTGCCTTGGGTCATCCTGATGCAGGCCTTGCCAGAAGAAGGTGTAGTTGGCCTCTCTGATGGAACCGCTGTCGGCCAGACGAGTCTCTTGCAGGCAGGCGATGTCAATGCCAAGCCTTGAGAGTTCCCTGTCTTTGACCGCGGTCTTTCGAGCATCGTCGATCTGTTGGATGTCATCTACGAGTTCAGGGCGCATAGTCCGGACGTTCCAGCTAGCAAACCGAAGATCTGGAGTCTTCATGTTTCTTTCTTTCCTGCCTGGTGCGGGATTTACAGATTGCTTGTCAGGAGGATCAGTCCCTGACCGCAGCGACTGCAATAACTACCGCGGCATTTCCCTACTCAGCGTCGTCGGGAAAGTCTTTGCCCGCGTCATCTTGCCACGCCTGCAGAGCCTCGCCACCCGTGTGTACCCCGAATCGCAGTGTGGTTTCAGGGCGGGCCTATCTACAGTGGACATGATATTCTCGCTGTGCCAGCTGCAGGATAAGTGCCGTGAGCAGCAGAAACCACTGTATATCGCCTTTATTGACCTGGCGAAAGCCTTCGACTTGGTCAGCAGAAGCAGACTCTTCAGCCTCCTGGAGAGGAGGGTAGGATGTCCCCCAAGACTGCTCCAGAAGGTCAAGTCCTTCTACGAGGACATGCACAGCACAGTCTGCTACAACGGCGGAACATCCGACGCCTTCCCTGTGCGTAAAGTAGGGCTGTGTCCTTGCGCCGACACTTTTGAGATCTACTTCTTCATGCTTCTCCGGTACGCCTTCTGTGACTGCATGGAGGGCATCTACATCCGCACTAGAGCAGACGGCAAAGTCTACAACATCGCTCGACTGCGCGCTAAGACCAAGGTCCGTGAGGTTCTCATTTGTGAATAGCTGTTTGCCGACGACGCTGCGCTGACGTCCCACATGGAGGACGGTCTGCAATAATTAGTCAGCCATCTAGCCAATGCCTGCAAGGAGTTCGGCTTGACCATCAGCCTCAAAAAGATCAACATTCTGGCACAAGTCACCGCCTCCGCCCCGGACGTTGCCATCAACGCACCTCGAGGTGGTGGACTCCTTCACCTACCTCGGGTCGATCATCTCCAGCCCCCCACCCCTGGACACCGAAATCAGCTCCAGGATAGGGAAAGCCGCCGCAGTCATGGCCAAGCTAAACAAGCGCGTCTGGAACAACAACCAGCTGACGGAGAACACTAAACTACAAGTCTACCGGGCCTGCATCCTCAGCACCCTTCTGTATGGCAGGGAGTCCTGGACAACTTACGCCAGTCAGGAGAAGAGGTTAAACACCTTTCACCTCTGCTGCCTCAGACGTCTCCTGCACATTAAGTGGCAAGACTGGGTCACTAACACAGAGATCCTCCAACGTGCCGGCATCCCCAGCCTGTTCACGCTGCTCTGCCAAAGACGTCTCAGATGGCTGGGGCACGTACACAGCATGGGTGCCGCCCGCATCCCAAGAGTCTGTACGGAGAGCTGTGTGTGAGTGTGTGAGTGTGTGTGTGGTTGGGGGTTCCCCGTCCAATTGGAAGACCTCAGCTGCGCTTCAAGAATGTCTGCAAACGAGACATGAAGCTGGCCGACATCGACCTCAACATCTGGAAGGCCGCGGCTGCCAAACGCCAGCTTTGGAGAGCCACAGTCAGTGACGGCGTCACGATTGCAGAAGCTGTCATCCAGTTTCATCTGCGCCAAGTGCCTGAGAGACTGCCGCTCTAGTGGGACTACACAGTCACCAGAGGCGATGTAACTCCATCGCCTAGAATTTTTTTTGGGGAAAAAAAAACAATAAGCGCTACTCCATCGTCTCCCGAGATGGACGGATGCCGACGATGATATATGAGGGTATATATATATTTAAATATATGTGTATATATATCTATAAAAGGCAGGATGTATGTGTGTGTAACGAATTCACGGTCGCAATTTTCGACGGATTTGCACCAAAATTTACATGCACATGCTCCAAGTTAGCGGGAAGTCCAAGACCGACTTTGCATTTCCCAACTCCCATCGATAGTGGAAATAATCGATTTTTTCATGCTTCTACGGCAATTTTCATGTAGTTTGCGGCCATTTTCTACTGGCCAGAGTGAGAGCCTATAGCTGGCTGCCACGAATAGGCAGGAAGATTCTATTGGCCAGCGTGAAAGCCAACAGCTGACAATATTCAGTCCCCCCACGAGGGTGTCATGTGGCACAAAGGCCTTTTAACGTGGGAATTCCCGAGCCATTAGGCTCGGCAAAAAATGGTCCCATTTGAACCCGTATAAACGGGTTCTGGGCCAATTTACCTCCCGAAGGAGACTCCGCCCTTCGGCGTAGCCTCCTTCGGTTCCTCCCGCCCGTAGGAAGAGAGTTTAACCGTGCAGTCAGTTCAAAAGTGAACGACCGACTCCAGCCAACAGCTGACTGACACGAATGTTAACAAGCATGCAAAAAAAATCGATAGCTGCATTTGTCACAAGTGAATTTAAATTTGCATTCCGTATTCCGTAGAACTGGGTTGGGTGTGAAAAAGTATTTGTTGTTAACATTCTTTTTTCATTCGGTTTTTCCAGTTCCGAGTCCTTTTTAAAGCTGATCGTCTTGTGTTCATTTTGTTTAGTTCTTTTTTCGTAACAGATTTAATGTTTAGTATAGAGCTTAGAAAAAATTCGCAGTGTGAGATAGGCAAGAAGTAAGGCATGTAGCAACATCAGCACGGAAAAGGGTACTCCTTTAAAGGGAAGGAAGGGCAAAAATGTTTTAAGTCAAGTGATAGCGATTGCTGTATGAGTCGTACGATTTTCGAATCAACGCCGGGCCATGCTGCTAGTATACTTATATATATATATAGGTATATACATATATGTATATGTCTATATATATTTATATATATGTGTATACATATATTTATATACATATGCCTATATATATATATTTATATATATGTGGATATAAATATTTGCGTGTGTATATATATATTTTATATATCTGTACATATATATTTCTATATATGTGTGTGGATGTATATATATATTTGTGTATATATATTTTAGATACATATGTGTATATATATATTTAAATATATATGTATATATGTATATATATTTATGTATATATGTATATATATATATATATATATTTATTTGTATTGTGCATGTGCATATATATGTATGTGTATACATATAAATATTTTTAAATGTATACGTATACGTGTATATATATGTTTATATATGTATATGTGTATTTATATATGCATATATATTTATATATGCATGATATATATATATATATATATATATTGTATATATTTATTCATATATATATGTATGTGTATATATATATATGTAGGTGTGTGTGTGTATATATATATATATATATGTATATGTGTGTGTATATATATATTTATATATATGTATATGCGTGTGTATATATATATTTATAAATATATATGTATGAGTGTGTCTGTATATATATATTTATAAATACATATGTATATGTGTGTCTATATATATATATATATATATGCGTCTGTATATTTATCTATATCTCCGTTAAAATACATATTTATATATATGTATGTATATATACATATATTTACATATTTGTATATGTATCTATGTATATATATTTATATATGTATATGTGTGTACGTATATACAATTATATATATATCTGTGTGTGTGTGTGTATATATATATCTGTATGTGTTTGTATATATATATATATATATATTATATGCATATATATATATCTGTATATTTAAATATGTATACATATGTATATATGCGTAGATAGATTTTTAGTTATATTTATGTATATGTGTGTATGTATATATTTACATATATATAATTATATGTATGTATATGTGTTTACGTATGTAGATATATTTAAATGTATGTTTCAACTTACATATATTTATTGATATATATGTGCATATTCATATTTTGACATGTATATGTGTGTTTATATATATTTTTATATATGCGTGTATATATATATATATTTATATATCTGTATACGTACATATTTATATCCATATATGTACATATATTTATGTGTATATATACATACATTCCTATGTATATGTTTATATATTTATGTGCATATGTATGGATATATATATATTTATGTGCATATGTATGGATATATATATGTATTTATATGTATATGTTTATATGTATATATATTTATATGTATATGTATATATATATATATGTGTATATGTCGATATATATATCTATTTATATGTATATATTTGTATGAATATATATTTTTTTCAACATGTGTATTTGTATATATATATACATGTATTTATATGTATATGTGTGTCTATATATACATTTACGTGTATACGTGTGTATATATATATATTTATATGTGTATATATATATTTATATGTATATATGTGCCTATATATATATATATATGTATGTGTATATATACATTATATGTACTTGTGTGTGTATACATACATATACTTATATATATATGTGTGTGTATATATAAATATATATTGGTATGTATATGCATATACGTTTATATATTTATGTGCATATGTGTATATATATATTTATATGCGTATATGTATATATATATATTTATATATATGTATATATATATTTATATGTTTATATATATCTATTTATATGTATATATGTTTATGTATATATATATCTACATGTGTATTTGTGTATATATTTGCATGTTATTATATTGGTATGTGTGTATATATATATATATATATATTTATCTATATTTGTGTCTCTATTTCCATGTTTATGTTTGTATATATATATTTTATATGTATACATGTGTATATATATATATTCATATGTGCATGCGTATATACATATATATTTTATGTACATGTGTTCATATATATATACATTTGTATGTATATGTATATATATATTTACGTATATGCTTCTATGTGTATATTTTATGTATATGTGCATATATATATATTTATATATATGCTTGTATTTGTATATGCATATGTACATATATATATATTTATATATATATGTGTATACATATATATTTTTGTATATGTATATTTGCATATATATATATATATATATATATATATATATATATATATATATTACATAGACGTATATATTTAAATGCAGGATAGATTGTTTTCTATATCCTTGGACGGCATCTGGTCTAGGACAAGCACAACTTTTATTTCACTACC